CAAGATAGAGAACGGAGAACGACCATCAAGAATAAACAAGGGCATGCGATTAATGAGAAAACAAGCAATAAGCACTACATCACTCCAAAAACGTTTGGGAACATTCATATGATGAAGAAGAGACCGAGTTGTTTCAAGTAGATGTCAGTTCTTCCTCTCAGCCACCCCATTTTGTTGAGGAGTATTTGCACAGGATGTCTGATGAATAATGCTATGTTGTTCCAAATGCTGTTGAAAGGAAGTAAGAAAATACTCTTTGCCATTGTCTGAATGGAGAATTTTAATGGAAACACCAAATTGTGTACGTACTTCAACATGAAACTTTTGGAAAATGGAAAATAATTCGCTTCTTTCATTAAATAAATCCATGTCATTCTTGAACAGTCATCAACAAAAATAACAAAATACATGTAACCATTATAAGACTCAATTCTAATTGGACCCCAAATATCTGAATGAACCAAAGCAAAAGGACTCAACATACGACTATCAACTCTAGGACTGAGGGAAACCTAGTGAGGTTTCCCATACTGACACAACTTACACTACAAAGAAGACAAACAACTCGATGACGGAACAAGTAGCTTGAGAGCTTTAAGAGATGGATGGTCGAGTCTACAATGCCACTAGAGAGGAGTCAAAGAAGTTTGAAGTGCAACTGTAGAACCACCACCATCAAGGTAATACAATCCACCAGCTTCATGCCCTCCACCAATCTTCCTCCCTGTCTTGAGATCCTGAAAAATACAGGAAGGGTAAAACGTGAGGGAACAATTGAGGGGTTTGGTTAGTTTACTAACAGACATAAGATTAAAAGGAAACTTGGGTACATATAAAACAGAAGACAAAGAAAGAGATGCAATGTGAAGTAGAACCAATGGCTAGAGTAACATTATGTGATGTAGAGGTTAGAGAGAGAGGAAAACACACCTGGAGTCCCGGTCATGTGATCAAAGGCTCCAGAGTCAATTATCCAAGGGGAAGGTTTTGATGCCAGGCAAGCCATACCTGAATAAGCAAAGGTGGTAGTATTCTAATGTGAAGTAGCCTAAACGAATCTCTCATACTCATCTCTTGGGATACTCACCATCTCCTTCCTAGAAGTAGTTGTTATTGTAGAAGGTGTTGGATAAACTAACTTATTATCACTGACTTCATTACCACCAACAGTTGCATGATTAGCCCATGTGAAGGATGGTCCATGCAGATCATAACAGAAATTAACTATATTTACCATCTCTTCCACCACAATGTGTACATTCCCTAGTAGTATTTCCTCTTCCTCTGCCACGGCCTCCCCCTGAATCACGACCTCCACCATTGCTACGACCAAACATAGGGTTACCACAGCCCCCCCTAACTATACGACCACCTCCACTGTTCCCATAAGTTCCACCTCGAGTTCCAACAAGTGTTTATCTGTCAGGAGGTATGGTACTCTCTATGGAACCAAGAGAGATCCTACGGAGACGGGCAGATCCACCTAATATCTGTGCTCTAACAAGTTCATACTCTGATTTCAGCCCCACTAAGAATCGGGTAACATCAAGTTGTTCCCTTTGTTATTGCTGAATTTTGACATCCGGAGTTAAGGGATGACAAACATTAAGTTCATTCCGGAGATTTCTCATACTGGCACTTCAAGGGTTTGATTTCCCTGCTGCAAATTGAAGTACTCCTAATAAAGCTGATAAACTCATGTAGTGGTCTTGTCCATAATAGAGTTTCTTGGCGTGCTCCCAGATATCCTTTGTTGTGTCCAAGAACATTAAGTTAACGCTGATTTTAGGCTCCATATTGTTCCACAACCATGTCATGATTTCAGCATCCTCCTGCTCCCAATCACTAGAACCGGAGATTCAGCAGTAGGTTTCTCCTCCCATACATGTTTTACTTTCTTCTTAGCCTTAAGAAACACTTCCACCGACTCAGCTCATGGCACATAGTTTCCACCATTGAGTTTGATGGATGTCACCTGCACACTTAAAAAATCAGAGGAAATCATCACACTTGATTTCTGGTCACCACTGACATCTCCCATTGACGCCATTTCAATCTACGAAACAGGTTCTGCCCGTCCTAAAAAAACAGTCCCAAACACTTCGACTATTGTTCTTTGAGTACTACAACACACTCATTACCGTACAGTGTCTTCTCACTCAATCACCACGATTCTGCCTGAGCATACATTCGGCCACTTCTGTTAACATACGATTTCATAACCACCATAAAAAATACCCCTCTTGAAACTGCTCAATAGAGGGTTCAGACCACCACAACTACAACCACACGAACACCAAGGCAGTCACACATGGTGACAGCAGTCCAGAAATTCTCCACTAGGGCCGCCGTACTCCCCCTTCACCTGTAACTAGGCCACCGTAACCCTAGGAACGCCTGAATAGGTTGCCGCAGACGTCTGAGGAGTGAGGATTACCGCAGCCTTTTCCACCACTTACTCCAGATTGCGCAGATCAGAAAAAAAAAATAGAACAAAAATAAAAAAAAAAAAAGGAAAGAAAGAAAGAGGAAAGAAGATCTGATCGAATGAAGTTGTGCCCTCTCTCTTTTCTCCTTTTAGCAGCGCTCTGATACCATGTAAGAATAGTTCAGTTGAACTAGGTTCAGAGATAGGAAGGAGAGAAAGAGAGAAGAAGAAGAAGAAGAAGAAGAAGAGAGAAGAAAGAAGTGTCGAACTGAGAAGTCAAAAAGACTCTCCCAGCCGACCATATATTTATATCAAAACAGTGTACAGAGTCAAATATGCCCCTACTAAAGTATGGGACATGTAATTAACATAATACTTAAACAGAAATGACTAAAATGCCCTTCCTTAGCCGACTCTAACAAGTTCATACAAATTCTGTGTGCAAGAACAGAAGAACATAGAGCTTTTTCACCTTCTAGTAGGTCTCCTGGAGTAGAACATCACTGTCCAGCATCTGCCAATGCATCTCCTTCTACTATACACAGTGTTTTAAAAGCACTAGGCGCAAAAAAAAAAGTGCAAGGGGCAATTTGCACCCGAGGCGCAAGGTGCAAGGCAAAAAAAATGCTAAAAATAAAAATGTTAGAAAACTCAAAAAATGCAAAAAAAATAAAAAAAAAATAAGCATAATATTAACAAAAATATAAACTTAAATAGGGGGTCTTGTTTGGGCTTTGCTTCAAGGGGCATGGCCGCGGTCCAAGAGCGGAGCCCCTAGCCCATCCACTAGGTTCAAAAAAAGCAAAAAAGCGTAAAATTTTCAAAAGGCACACGCCTGGGCTAAGGTGCACCAGGCATGTGCCTTTTGAAAGGGTTGTGCCTAGGACCTAGGTGAGGCACATACCCTATAATGCGGCTCATCTGTGTGCCTAGGTGCACCTCCTAAATCACTGACTGAACAGTAAGTAGACCTGGAACTAAGATCTCTCTAGCAATCCACAAACTGCTCTCCTTCTTACCCTAATAGGGAATAACCAACGCTGCTTAGGTTCCCTTGGTCTCTTCTCCAAGGAAGAAACCCTAAGAACAAGATGTGGGCTCCTTAGTGACTAACTAACAAGTTAAGATTTTCAGTAGCAATGCTTTGAAAATTGTTATTGTATGGTAAATTGTAGAAAATTGAATCAAATTGAATTGTAAACCATATTGTAAATCGTAAAATTATTTCTATTTAAACAAACTTGTCAAAAAATAAATATAGATATATTAAAATACTAAATATATATAGGAAAGTGATTTTACCCTATTTTCAATCCATGACTACCACATATATACCTAAAACAGTAGAACTTACCACTTGTATAATAGAAGCCCAAGATGATAAAATCAAGTTTGACTTGAAAGTCAAATAAATTCACATACAATGGCTCTTTAACCTATATATGATGCAAAATAAATTCAGCAAAGATCTGATCTTAAATAACATACATAAATCATTTTCTAAAACAACAGAATTTGCCATTTATATAATAGAAGCCCAAGATGAAATAATCAAGCTTAACTTGAGAGTCAAATAAATTCACATGCAATGGCTCTTTAACCAATATACCATGCAAAATAAATTCAACAATGGTCTTAAATAACGTAAATAAATCATTTTCTAGTAAAGGCTTTAAAACAAGTCTCCCTTGACAAAACTAGATATAAGAAAAAGACAAAGTAGAATACTAATTATTAATTGAATTTATTGGAATCACAATGAATCATAGAAATCGTATAAATCATAAGAATTATGAATCAAAAAGTAGGATTCAAACAAAAATCGTAAAATTTTTGCAGAAAATGAATCAGACATAAGATTTGAATCGAAATCCTTGGAATTCATGATTCAAATCATGAATCATATTGTAAGTCATAAGATTTTGACAACATTATTCAGTAGAACAAAGTTCCAGAGAGAGAAGAAGAGAAAAGAAGGAAAAAACATGTTTTCATCATAAGAAAGCTCCTATTGCTCTGATACCATGAAGTATTTTGAGCAAGAGTAGACAAGAAATGAGAAATGACAGGAAGAGAAGAGAATGAGACAATGGGGCAGCAATTCTCTCTTTGTCCAGCCCAAGATAGAATTTAAATGAAACTTAAAGCATGAGAAAATACAAAATTGCCCTTGATTAGGCGAGCTGTACATAAACAGTCTTTAAGGGAAGAATAACTTATGCCCAGTAGGCCCGATAGTAAACTAAAATATGAAACAGCCCAGCCCATACAACATTAAGACTTACAACAATGCCCATATAATTTTCCCCTAAAAGAACTTGACCTTGAGTTTGAACATCCCTTTTCTGATAGAAAACGCTAGAGAAGTTTCTGAGCAATTATTATGCTTTAGAGTACTCTTTTAACATACCAAAAAATGCTTTTATACCAATATAAACCAATAGAATACAAGCAATTTACCAATTAAAAGAGAAAATAGGGAGATAGACAAACAGACAGGCAGACAGACAGAAACTGAACTACCAATGCTGTTAACCTACATTACAAGCAAAGAACACAAGGGGTGATTTACCTCAAGTTTTGTAGCCCCCACCACAAACAGTAACAGTATTTAGACAGGAATTTCTTGGATTTAACAATTCCAGAGGACAAAGCCTGTTGGTAGATTCCAAAATCAAAAGGTGGATTATCACCCTCTGCAGGGCATTTATTGCTAAGAACAGCCTTACTGACGGTAAGCCAGTTACTGTAACTTGGCCCATTCCAATTACCACAATACAAGTAATTTGTATCACATTTTATGGCATTTGATTCAGTACAAGCTTCCTGCCAGCAAGCATCATTGCGCTCAACAGCTAACAAGTACCAGAAAGCTCCAACTATCTGCAGATATTCCATCTATAGAGGTTAGATGTGTTTCATAAACTCTTAAGAGCATGTATGTTGCAGTTTAGCATACAAGACCAAAAGCAGAAAGGGTCCATCAGAACATACAATAAAATCTCAGGCTGTCAAGCATAAATAATGCAGGTTCAAGTCTCTGAGTGGCCACTTTGTGCAAAAAAAATTCCAAATGTTAGGACCGTATCCAGTCCACCCCTCCCAAGCCCCAGATAGCCAGGACCAACATTCGGTAATGGCCTTTTTTTACATGTTACAAGCATGCAGAAGTGTGATAACTAGTGGAAATCTGTGCAAGAAAAAAATTAAGAGAAATAAAAAATATAGAGAAAGAGATAGTTGAGTGGGGAATAATTGTGTTAGTTAATCATACCCAACACTGCTTTTTTTTTGTACAAAAGGGGTCTATCATACCCAACACTCCTATATTATATATGAGTTACAAGTGATATGAGAAAAGGATGATTACACCTTTATCATCCCCCTCAAGTATAGAATAGTTATCCAACATACTCAACTTGCCAAGATTGACAACTAGTTTTGACTTTAGAATGCCTTTGGTAAGGAAATCAGCCAATTGATTCTTTATCTTCAAAAAGGGTCGACAAACTTGTTAGGCATTCTCTAAAGAAATGCCGGTCCTCTTCAACATATTTGGCACAATCATATTGAACTGGGTGTGTGCAATGTTGATTACTACCTTATTATCAAAATACAATCTCAAGGGTTGTTCAGCATTTATTCCCAAATAAACTAGAACATGCTTCACCAATAACCAACAATAACTCTGAAATAAAAACTTGCTCTATATTCAGCCTTGACACAGGACCTGGGCACTATAGACTTTTATATTTTACAAGCAACTAGCCAACAAGAGTACAGTACCCTAAACTTGACAATTTATCACGCACAGAACCTGTCCACTCAATATCAAATAAACTTCTACCCAGAAATGACCATGATTAGCAATTAACAGATCTTCTCTGATTAATTTCAAACATGGAAGCCAAAAGCTGCTTGAATGCCTAGACTTCATCTAAAAAGTTGCTTGTCAAGACAATCCAGGTTCAAATGGAATTGTGAAAACCCAACAGTTGGCCCATCATCAGAAACGCATGTATGTGCATATAAACTCAGAGATACGCACAGATTTGGCTTTCCATTTTTTTTGAATTGGTATGCAATAAGAAATATTTTCAAATAACTCAATATGACAACATTTAACTGATATCATGCCAAGTTAATACACATTAACAAAAGAAGATAATCCAAACAATGAAATACTGAACAGGAAGGAAAAAGAAGCTAACCAACATAAAATATCCACCAAATTACATTAAGACTTACATGACTAGCAAGCATATACCACAGCAAATAGTATGCAGCACCAGCAAAAGCAGATTCAGCAAATACACCAGCAGTCCTTTTCAATTCTGAAGTCAAGGGTAGGATTCGGTAAAACCTAGGTATGTATTGAAGCATCACGATAAAAAGCAGTGCCTGTTTTGTAGCCAGAACATCTGATTTTTGAAGAAACTTCCAAACTACAATCTGCACACACCAAATAGTAATCAACCAATTCAACCAGCTGCTCCTTAAAACACAAGAAACAGAAAATGCCAAAATACAGTAAGAAAAAAAAATGATATCTACTCGACAATTTAAATAGAAAAATGACCCTGCACATAGTTTGTTCCTTCCAAAGAACTTTCGCTTAAAAGTGCATGTAAGATATATTAAAAAAAGCACCTATATGACAAACAACACTAATAATATAAACTTTTTTCCATTCAAAACTAAAAAATAATAGAAAGCCAGTTCACTAGTTGTCACTTTACTATTATGAAAATGTTCAGTTACACCATTTTTATTAGTAATAACAAGACAAAAAATATATTTAACAATAAAAACTATGTTGAATGGTAAAACAGGAAAGGAAGAACTTGAACAAAATGGAGCAAAGCTCAAAATATAACATATACAAAGCTTCACTATCAATAATATTATCCCCATTCCTGCTTCCATCCCATTGAGACCCTTCTTTTAGAACTAGGTTCAAGTAAGCACTCTTTCCACCATTTGAGGCTTTGAGCATTCCTTCCACCATAGTTCATCCCTTGAATGAGCTGAAACTTTCACCCCTTCCAACTTCTCCAAAAGTACAATACAGTCCCCAATTTCCCTGTCCAGTAAAGGCCTTCTGAACCTTGGATACCAAACCAATTGCTCCCCTCTCCTCTCAAAAGTCAAAACAGTGTAGAATGGTCCACTCAGCCTCAGTCAGCCTGTATAACCTTGGACAAAAATCACTCAGCTTTCCTACCCCACACCACTCAACTTCTAAAAACCTGATCCTTGCTCTACCCTCTACTAAGAAGCTGATTAGACTTCTGAACTCCTGATTAAAATTCATTATCCCTTTCCAAACACTTACTCCACAAGAAGAATTCACCTCCCTTGACTCCCACCCAAACCTCACCACCCCATATTTCCCCACCACCACTCTCCTTCATGGTGAGTTTCTCTCTCCACAACCATTTTGCAGTCAACGCCTTATTGAAAACCCTCACCTTCTAAACCCCAAACCACCCATTTCCGTTGGTCTACAGGCATCTTCACATTTGACCAACATCCAGAGTGTTCCCCACATCACAGGAAGAGATATTCAGACCCATGTTGGTTTTATCCCCATCTTCTTTACATGTCTATGAGTGTAACCTTACAGTTTCCATGCAATAGATGTTAGTGATAAAAGTATATGTACAAGTCATTTTAATGGCTTTAACAACTACAAAATAGACAAATTGTTCTGGCAAGGATAAGCATATTCCACTTTTCAAGTACTTCCAGATAGCAGATGCATAACATAAATTGGAAAAAAAGAAATCATGGAACATGAATTTCAAAAATTCAAACTAAAAAACACAACCTCGGAAGCTGAATAAAATTGCAGACTTGGAAAGAAAAGGAGAAACTTAAAAAGTTGCACTGGACCTGTGGTATTGGTAGCACAGCAAGAAAATCAACAATAAAATACCATCGCAAATATCGCTTAGCTATTTGTGCAGGATCTATCACAAGTTCACCTCGACCAAAAACCCGAGATGATGGTGCAATGTAAGCTGTGCGGAATTGGAGAGCCATGTGAATAACATAGAAGGCATCAATAATTGTCCGCAGTGTTGTCACTGTAATTGCTAACTTTCGATCTATACTCAAACAGGTTGAATCACTATTGATAACTGGGAGATAAAAAAATAAAGGATCCACTGATACTGCAAGAATACATGATATGACAAAGAGCCTATTCCATATCTGGAGGAATTTATCTTGAGGGTCAAATATCTTCTTCTCTGACACTTTAAGATCTTCTGGAAATACTGCACGAGAAACCCCAAACCGAAGTGATCGACCAAGTGATTTAAGTCCTTCAGACCCCTTTCTCATTCCCATCTTGAAGGATTTTGATGGAGTATCAGTTGCACGACCAGCACAACCCAACCCCTCAATGTTAAACCCACATCTGTTCAATCCTCCCGCATCAGATGATGACGATAACCTAGAATCCAGATCATCCAGCCTGAGAAAAGCACAAATACCAAAATTAGCTGAATATTTCACAATATTACCAAGTATAACATGTAACAATTTATAACCACTCAGCCTATTGTTCTCATCAATCAGAAAGAAAGCAAAATATCGCATCCATTTATTGATATACATATCCAATTAAAAAAATAGCTGATTCAGTGGTAAGAATCTTTTTTTTTCTTTCTTGCATCCATAGAATTAAAGTGGTATTTTCTTTACTTAATAATTTATTAGGAAAAGACAAGAACAAAAGGCTGGTAAAAATAAAAGCATATACCAAGCCAGGCTTGAGAGAAACCCAACAAAGCCATCAAAGAAATCCCAGCAAAGGGGCAAAAGCACAAATCAATCAGAAAAGGAGGACAAACAGTTAAGTCCAACAGAACCAATGGAATATTTTCCTTGTGCCCAAACTTGTCAGGTGAAAAAAAAGCAAAGATAATGTGAAGCGCCATCTGTTCACAATGAATCAGGGTGTTTAGACTTTGGGAAGTGTTGACAAGTTGGGCGGCTTGGGCATTAGAACTCTACAATTTTATGTTTATTTTTATTTATGGGCTGTCAGTTGTCCTATCTATGTGGGCCTTGGGCCTGTTTGTTTTTTATTGTTTCTTGTAGCTGCAGCCTCTTACTAATTAAGGGAGTAGTTGATCAAGACTACAATCAGCCCTGAATTCGAAAGCAAAAAGGAAAGATTTCAGAAGAAAAGAAGAGAGGGAGAAAAGAAGCACACAAAGGGTTTTAGAAAAGAGAGAGAGGGTTGATCTTAATGATCTGCCGACCCACTCTTAATATTTATATATGTTGACTAATTGTAAAAGGGCTGAATTGCCCTTATTGCTTACATGGMAAATAAACTAATAATAAAGCTGAAATAACAAGCTGTAACAACAAACTGAAATAACTACCAACTAACACTGGCATAACTAACAAAAAACATATGCTATGCTGCCAAACGAACACAGTGGGGACCACAGCAATGGGGTCTACATCAGTGTTCTCTACTCTCCTCCTCAAGTTGGGAATAGATATTTGTCATTCCCAACTTGCATAGGTCTGCCTCTAATTTCTTCCTTGGAACAGCCTTGGTGAGAAGATCTGCGAGCTGCATGCTGAGGGTGATATACGGGAGACACACTTCTTGAGACAAAACCCTTTCTCTGACAAAATGTCGGTCGACTTCGATATGCTTAGTTCTGTCATGCTGTACCGAATTATGAGCTATATTAATAGCAACCTGATTATCACAATACAACATTAATGGCTTCTCATGAGCAATACCCAACTCCTCAAATAATGACTTCAGCCATAGGATTTCAGCCACACCATTAGCCATAGATCTATATTCAACTTCAGCACTAGAACGAGAAACAACACTTTGTTTCTTACTAGACCTGTTCATGGGCCGGGCCGGGCCGAGCTCGGGCCGGGCTTTTAGTCCCCATTAATGAAAATATGCTAGACCCGAGCCCGAGCCCGGCCCGACCTACGGGCCTATAACATGGGCCCGAGTCCGGGCCTGATAAAAAGCCCGAAGCCCGAGCCCGAGCCCGAAGCCCGACCTAATAAATTTCGCAGAGAGAGAGAGAGAGAAAACTCACCGTCGCACTTTGACAGAGATCCCTCATCAATTCGCAACATTGCATCTAAGAGAGAGAGAGAGAGAAAACTCACCGTCACACTTTGACAGAGATCCATCATCAGTTCGCAACTTCGCATCAGAGAGACAGAGAGAGAGAGAGAGAGAGAGAAAACTCACCGTCGCTGCTGGAGTTATTGCGTCGGTGAACGTTCGCCGCCTCACTGTGGAGTGTGGAGGATGTGGAGGTTGGAGAAGAAGGGTTCRRMTGGAAAAAGAAGAGGGAAAGAGGCAAAGAGATAATAAAAAGATGGGGCTATTCGATTAGGGTTTTTTAGGTCTAGGTTTAGGTCGGGCCGGGCCGGGCTATTTTGACAAAACCCGAGCCCGGCTCAAATTTATTGCGGGCCGGGCTTTTTGGCCCGAATTTAAGCCCGCGGGCCTATAACCATGTTCAAGCCCATCTAGGGACCGGGCCGGGCCGGCCCGTCGGGCCACCCGACCCATGAACAGGTCTATTTCTTACTCCTCCAGGAGACAAGGTTACCTCCTACAAAGGCACAATATCCAAAGGTAGACCTTCTGTCATCAACACTCCCAGCCCAATCAGCATCTATATAGACCTCTATCTTCATGTGATCATTATTCTTGAATAATATACCTCTTCATGGACATCTCTTCAAGTATGCTAATATTCTCCCAACTGCAAAAAGGTGAGTAGTTCTAGGAGAGTGCATATATTGACTGACAACGCTGACTGCATAACTGATGTCCGGTCGTGTGAGACAAAGATAGAGGAGTTTCCCAACCAACCGTTGGAACATAGCTTTGTCTTCAAGAGCCTCTCCACCCTCTGCACTGATCTTGTGATTCTGTTCAATAGGTGTATCTGCAGGCTTAACACCCAACTTTCCAATTTCTACTAATAGATCTAGAACATACTTCCTTTGAGAAATAAAAATCCCATGTTTCAACCTCAATACCCAAGAAGTATCGTAGCTCTCCCAGATCTTTCACCTCAAACTCTTGATGAAGGAGTTGTTTAAGAGACTCAATCTCACTGTTATCATTCCATGTCACTACAATATCATCCACATATACAGCAAGCAAAGTCAAGGAAGAGTCCACTCTTTTAATGAACAATGTATGGTCTGATTGGGCCTGTACATAGCCGAATTTTTCAAGGGCTTGTCTGAATCTATCAAACCAAACTCTGGGGGACTGCTTTAATCCATACAAAGCTTTATTCAACCGGAAAACCTTCTTACCTGTCTCTGCATCATAAAATCCAGGRGGTAACTGCATGTAGACTTCTTCCTGTAAGTCTCCATTGAGGAAGGCATTTTTAACATCCATTTGGAACAAGGGCCAAGAATAACTGGCTGCAAGGGATAGCAGAACTCGAATAGTGATCATCTTTGCTAGTGGAGAAAAAGTCTCCAAGTAGTCTATACCAGAGTAAATCCCTTTGCAACTAACCGGGCCTTATACCTTTCAATGAAACCATCAGCATTATGTTTCATAGTAAATACTCATCTACATCCAACCGGTTTCTTTCCTTTAGGCTGCTCAACTAGCTCCCAAGTATTATTCCTCAGAAAGGCATCCATTTCAACCTTCATTGCATCTTTCCACTCAGGAACTGACAAGGCTTCCTGCACTGTTCTGGGAATAGAAAAATCAGCAATGGATGTGAGAAAGGACCTGTAAGAGGGGGACAGGCGATCATAGGACAGAAACTGGGAAATGCAGTGAGTTGTGGATGTGGTGCAACGCCGTTTGCCTTTACGGACAACAATGGGGAGGTCAAAGTCATTCAAAGAAGGTAAAGTAGCAACAGTGGAAGGTATCTCAGGGGGACCTGGATCTGATAAAGGAACTGTGGTACCTGGATCTGGATCCGCAGAAGGAACTGGGGCTGGCCTGGACTGCTAATGACCGAAATCAACCTGCCTCCACCGCCTATGATAGACTCTCAAATCCTGACATCTTTGGCAACCCTCCCCATTACATCCCTCATCACTCAATGGAACCGGTAAAGGAACTTCTGATGAGTTAACCCCACTCTCACTACTCTCCCCCTAAGGAGAAACCCTAGGGTAATAGGGTACATCCTCAAAGAAAGTAACATCCATCGAGACAAATCTCCTCCCAGAAGTAGGTTCATAGCAGCAATAACCCTTTTGAGTTTGTGCATAACCGAGAAAAATGCATTTGGAGGCCTCAGGATCAAATTTGGAACGATGAGGTCTAAGAATCTGAACAAAGCAAGTGCAACCAAAGGTTTTAAGGGGAACAGTAAATAAGTCTTTATCGGGGCATAGAAGGGTAAAGGGAGGCTTCATGTCAAGAACCCGTGAAGGAACTCGATTAATGAGATACACTGCTGTGAGAATAGCACCGCCCCAGAAATGGATAGGCACATTGAAGAATAGGCACACCTCCAAATATGTGCCTATTCTTCTTCTCAGCAATCACATTCTGTTGTGGTGTATAAGGACAAGTACTCTGGTGAATAATCCCATGATCAAGCAGATAGGAGGCCAATGGCTTGGTAAAGTATTCTTCCGCATTATCGGATCTAAAGATTTTGATTTTGACCCCAAACTGGGTTAAAATCATCTGATGAAAGATTTGGGTCAGAGCAGAAACCTCATCTCGAGAACACATAAGGTAAACCCAAGAAAAACGGGTATAGTCATCAACAAACAACAAGAAATATCTGTATCCCCCCACAGAAGGGATGTGATACCGGCCCCAAACATCGGTGTGCACAACATCAAAAGAACTACTACTTCTTTTATTACTCAAGGAATAAGATGTCCAACAATGCTTTGCAAGCTCACAACTCTCACATCTCAAATTTGACATTTGAACAGACTCGAATAAATTTGGAAACAAACTCTTCAAAGACCGAAAGGATAAATGACCTAACCGATTATGCCAAAGCATAACCTGACTAACATGCTGAGAAACAAAAGACTTCCTATCTTCATGATCTTCCCAATGAGAACTCTCTCCAAGCAGATAGATCTCATTCATCTCACGGCCAGTCCCAATCACCTTCCTTGTCTCCAAGTCCTAAAAAATACATCGATCAGGGAAAAAAGTTACTGAACAATTCTGATGTTTTGTAAGACTACTGACTGAAAGGAAGTTAGTATCAAGCTTAGGAACATGCAAAACTGAAGATAAAGAAATGGTATTAGACAACTTGATGTCTCCCTTGCCAGAAATGGGAACAACGGAAACATCAGCAATGGATACTTTTTCTCTACCAGAAGACAAGTGATAGGTAGTGAACAGTGATGGCAAGCTAGTCATATGGTCAGATGCACCTGAGCCTATTACCCAACAATGTTCAGTGTTACTTGAAGCTGAAGCATGGTAAGCTGAGGCCCGAGTACCTG